GCACCCCTGTGACCAAGTTGGGTGGTGTGCATTCATTTCTCCTATTAGGATGTTGTTTTCCCCGTGTGTGTGCCATTGGTTTGTTATGTCGAAATCCTTTGCCGAGGGTCTCTGGTAGCCAATGGTAATCTCCGCGCCTCCGGTCCACAGTGTAATGTATTGTGTCGTTATTCGTTCAACCACAAACATGTGAACGTATTTGTCTAAAATATATACGGCACAGCCGTATCTCGTCGCCTTTGTGCTAGCGTAGCATGTAAATCCTTCCAAATGTATCCAGTCCTCATTCTCAAGAGGGCATTCTGCAATCGCTATTATTTTCGGTTTTCGTTTTTTTGAGAGTTTCAGCAACTCGGTGACAACGTTCATGGACCCGCCGACGTTGTGATAAATTATATCTGTTGTCGCCATATTTATTTAGGCGTCGGGGGAGGGGCCAGCACTGCTGGTGCTTTTCCTTTATCCGCGGCCGTGGGGGGTTGTACTGGGGACTTTGCCCTAGTCCTAGTTGGGCAATGGTTATCTCCGGCGAAATGAGAGGTTTCTTCGCAGTTAACACATCTTCTTATGGTATGGGAACACATCTTCCCTTTTCCCGCCGTGCAGTACGTCTGTGCGCAGAGGTGGTCTTTGGTGTGGTGTCTTCCTCCACAGTATTTGCATATTGCTTCCATCCTGCAATGGACGGCATGGTGTCCGAACTGTAGGCACCTCGCGCAACAGGTTGATGAGTCTTTCTTTACATATTTCCGGAAGGTACACCTCATGCCAAAGATGGCCATGCTCGGGAGGGGTTTTTTGGTTTCGGCCATGATCCAGTCGTTTGCCTCTACCGCCACTATTGCTGAGGACTTGACTTTTCCTTCAGCTTTGAGCGCTGTCGGGAACCTGAGCCACTTAGGCCTGTCTAGCAGCCGGACCTGTGGGTTGTATTCAGAGATTTCCTTTGCTAGGTCCTCCCATCTGTCTGAGTCCGTGTCCCATTCTTCGGGTGTCCAGTCTTCGTCCCCTAGTGGTATGCTATTGATGACGATGTTGATGGACGGTGTGTCTGTGGTGACATTGAAGCCGAAAACGTCGATCCCGTTTAGGGCCTTGGTGATTGCCGGCACGTCGTTGAGGGCTGGTTCGGCCGGTAGGTCTCCCATGGTGGTGAGTACCAGGTCGTCATTTCGGTTAAATTCTGCGTATGCGAACTTAACCCTGGATGCCGAGTTGACCGCGTCTCTGATTCTTGCTGGTGACAGCCCTGCTGCTCCTATCCTGCGACCTCTTTCTACCGATCGGATAAGTAGACTCCTTTGCCTGGCATGCGTGGTTGAGGGTGCCGAGGGTGCTGTCTCTCGGATGCCTGGGGCTGGCTCTTGTCTTTTTTTCTTTGTTGGCACTAGCCGGAAGCCGTCCTCATCAATTCCGGAGGACGTAATGGTGGCCCATGTCTGTTTGAGCGTTGTTTTCTGCGGGGCGGTTTCGTTTGCCTTGGTACTCGTCCCGGTTTGCGGTGCCAGTACTGGTGCGTCTCCCTTAGGCTTTCTTAGAATTTGTTTTGAGGGGGGGGGGGGGCTGCGGTGCGGCGTTTCGGGTGGGGGGGGGGGTTTTGGTGGGGGCTGGGGTTTGGGTTCTGGGTTGTCTAGGGGCAGCGGATGGGGTAGGGGTAGGGGTGTTGGTGTTGGATTGCCTAGCCCTTAGTCTTATTTCCCCGGTAAGCCGTTCCTCCATTGCCTGCATCTGCTCCTGGAATTTCTTTTCCAGCTGGTGGATGAAGCCCACCATGATGCCTATGGTGACGGGGCGTCCTAGTTCCTCCTTTTCTTCTGGTGTGAGTTCGACTTCCGTCGATTCATACAGGGAGGAGGAGGGGATGGTGGGGCGGTTTTGGGCATGTGAGGAGCTCGGGTCGTTGGTCATATTGCCCGTTGGGGTCCTCGGGATTTCCTTTGTCGTGGTCAAGGGGGAAGAAAATCGTACCTGCCTTGGTACACTCTGGGGGGCTGAGCTCTCCGGCACTTCGCTTGGTCCGTGGGCGTGTTGGCTGTCTCCTAACCCGGTCTGGTCTGTGTTTTTCCCGTTTCCCAGAGACATTGCTACATCTTGTGTGGCTTGCATTTCAGTTACTCCGATGTCTTGAGACTGGTCCATGGGTTCGTCCGTTTCGCCTAACGGTCGGGAGGAGGCGGGTACCTGTGGTATCTGGGATACGGGTACAGGGCTTTCTTGTGACGGGTAGTAGGAGGAGGCTGCTGCTGCCAGGAAAGCTAAGGCGTCGGTGTCGGCTGCATCTACCGCTTCATTGCCAAAGATTTTCTGGAGTGTGGTCCTGAACCCTGGGAGCTCCGGTTGGGGTGCCGCTATGGTCGGGGCCTTCGTGTTTCCGGTGAGGAGGACGTAGCATGCATTAGTGCATCCTAGTTCCTGTCTGACCTCGGGGAAGGTACTTCCCCTGGCCACGATTCTGTTTCCCACGTTGATTAAGGCGTTGGGGCAGCCCCTTTGGTGCCTAATAGTGGCGAACATGGGGAGGGTTGAGTTGAGGGAAACTCCTTGAGGGGAGCCGGGCGGGAGGAGGCTGGGGGAATTGATCCTTGGGCTCTTGGTAGGGCTTCTGGGTCCTCCCAGGGGAGAATGAGAGTGGGGGAGATGCGGCAGGGCCGGAGACGAAGGTTGGGAGGTCATGGTGAGTGAGTAGGATGGTCTTATGGCCAGCGTCCTAGACTCTCAAAGGAAATGAAGCCTTAGGATGGAGGGCTGTGATTGGCCACACCACCTAAGGGAGGAGTATCGTGAGTGAGGGGGTGGAGTACGAGACTTCTTTGAGTGAAAATTCTGGTTGTCACCGGATAAAAAGATGATGTGTACACAAACAAAAATAAACTTGGTGTGGTTGCAGGAATGCCCCGCTAACTGTACCGGAATTTCCGAAATTTTTCTCGCTCCGTGTGTGTGTGTGTGTGTAAACCTTTTATTCTTCCACTACCTCACCTACTAACTAAAGTAATCGGAGTACGGCATGAGATACAGCCCCCAGCCCAAGGCCCCCCCTTAAAGAAATCCCCCTCGCGGGCCACCTGCCACAAAACATCATTACCCGCCCGAAGCGAGCTCGCAAACACTCCACCACACAAGAAACCCACCCCGCCAGCCCAGCCCAACCGCGCAGGTTCCGCCCTCCTCCTCGGATGCCCCACCACACTCGGCAGATGCACGTGCGCATAGCCCCGACCCCACTGAAGCACTTATTTTCTATGGTTCTCACACCGCCGCGTGACGAGACCGGGATGCTGCATCCGGGCCACCCCTCCCCAGCCAAGCCAAGCCAGCAAACCACCACAAAAATCCGCAGCCGCACCCCCAAAAGGGAAGCACCACCGCACCAGTCGGGCCACACCCAAAAGAGGGGGTGGCAAAATCATTTTCTCCGGGTCAAAGCCATCCCCCCCATAGGGGTTCAGGAACACCGGGTTCGCGCGGGGGCCCAGCTCGAAGCTGGGAAAAGACAGTGAGGGGCGCAATGCCCTAAGGGCCCAAGCAGGCGAGAAGGAGGACCAAGGAGGAACCGGAATCGCATGAGTGTCCGAACGGTCGCTCCGAAGAGGGGGGGAGGACGGCCTCCCTATACGACCAACTGTATCCTGGCCGGAAACCAAGAACGCCCGACCGACAAGCAAGAGCAAAAGAGCGTGGGGAAAATTCAAGGACCGCAAGGTCCACTCGGTACCGTATCAATAGGCAAACAAAAGAAAGCGAGCCAACGGAGCACAAAATGTGAACCTTCCGAAGGTGGGGAAGTTAAAGACTTGAAGCCATCGTGAGAAGCTCTTCAAGGGCGTTTGATTGGGTGAGCCCCCCGAACACCGCACCGATACACCTAACCCTCAGAGTTGAAAAGAAGGAGACTGTGTGTGTGTGTGTGTGTGTGTAGCGCGCCTGAAGTTCCCGCATAGTAAACCGATCTTGCGTCCCCCTCCCTCTCCCTCCCCTTCTCACTGCCCCTCCCTATTTATGGTATGGTAATCATACCGGATAGATAACTCACTTGGAGAGAGAGAGAGAGGGAGATCTGTCAAAGCGGACCTTTTCCTCAATCTTGACTTGACTTGTGGTGCCGCTACATACTCGTGTACTGTACAGTTCTCGGACGTACCCTACTGTGTCATAATTCATCGTAGCGTAGGCCGCAATGACTACTGTGCAAACACACACAGGAATAGTGACAAAATCACATTTTATTTACCACGCACATACGACGAACGAACCGTGGACATCCCCCCGCTATCATATGGAATCACTTCCGCAGGAGAGAGAGAGTGTGTGAGAGAACTTTGGAAATCCAGTTTGTTGTAAGCGCCTTGAGCTTTATATACGGCGGTTGGCACGAATGAATAGGTACCTCTGATGTCACTGAAGTGTTCGTACAGCGCCGCATATATCTCCGTCACTGTCACCGTCGCGTGCGCTCCCTTCCCTTGCCTTCCCGAGGACCGCCGCCGCATCTCGGTCGTTGGTAAGCTCTGTGTGACGGACTTTCTTTTCTTTTCTTCTTCCTTTACAGTATTTCTGTGGGGAGCTGCGGCTGGCAGGATCTTCAACTAGAGATAATACGCATGAAATGATCCGCGGCCTTGAAACTGAAGTAAGATTAAGGTTTTTTTTACCTAACTAGATTTGGCCAAGTCAAGTTTTAGGGAAATAAAAATAAAAATAGAGATTCTTGTGAGGGGGGGGGGGAATACAGGTGTGGAGTTATCGCATTATTGTATCACATCATACAAAGTACAAGTATTATCGTTATCGCACTGTGGTGGTGGTGGTATTATTCTGTTCTGGGAATGTGGAATGATTTGTTGTGAGACATGTCTTGTTACATAAGTGTACTTTTCATTTCCTGGATTCCTCCTTTGGATAGTTGAGAGATGGTATGATACTGTACCCGGGTCATGTGTTACGTGTTTTACTGTATCGAGTTGTAGGGGGATGAGATGTTCTAGGAGAGGATGAATGAGTGGAAGAGTGGGAAAAAATGTCTGTTCAGGTCATCCCGTGGCCCGGTCCGATAATGATACTCCACAAGCTGATAGCATCCTCAAGGAATAAACATTGGGGATGAACGAGAATAAATACAGAAAATTTCAAGGAATGCGTAGCTCCAAACTCCAATCGCCCCCTTCCATTTGTCCATCCATCCATCCATCCCTACACCGTTTCGCAGTATCCATATCCCAATTAATTCGTATCTACCATCCTCACACTCCACGACCCTTCTTCCTTCACATAGCGTGGAACACCGGCTGCGGCTTTGCGACCTGATCCATAACGGTAACCTCCGAAGCGAAACTGACACTGGTCCCCGTCCTCTCGAGTTTTTCCAGCGGCGACGGTAGTTGCGATTCCTGCTCATCGATAGACCCCCCCCTCCTGTCGACCAACGCGACCTTATCCAGACTACGGGGAGGCGCCCTCGCTCGCCGCAGACGTCTCCGCCTACGCCAGATATAGACGAACATGGGAATTACCACTATGAGGGAGATGCCGCCAACGATGCAGGCTATCGTTGAGCCGTCGTCCAAGCCTGGGACTATGGTTTTCGGTCCCATCGGTGGGGGAGGGGGAGGGGGGGGAGGTGCTGAACCGTCGGTCGATACGACGACCTGGCCCTGCTTGTCTTCGTCTACATCGTCGGGTTGCCGGGTGATGAGTGCGCTTGTGAAGGTGGGGAGGATGAAGAGGAGATATGCTAATGACTGTGGGGAAATGTTGAGCTTTGACATCTTTTCTCTGGTATGATGTTTGGTGGTTGAAGATGGAGGTCGCAATTTAAACCCGCGAAGAGAGTTGTTCTTTTTTATCTTTTTAAAATGGTGGGGGAAACTTTATTGTTATCTGCAAAGGAGTGTGGCCACAATTCAACGTAACGGAGGGGGGTTCCAAGTATTAAAAACTAAGGGAGAGTGTGTGATAGGTCAAAAAGAGTGTGATAGCAATAATAGCAAAATAATAATAATAATACAAGCTCAAATTCAGAGCTTTGACGGGAACGAACGTATCAAACAAAGCACACAGGCCAGACGAACAGGAAATAAGGAAGACGAAACGCAGAGCGTCCGAAAGGGCGGATGGTAGGCTATTTGTTTTATTATGCCTTTTTCTTTTTCTTTTTTCTCCCTTTCTTTACCTTTCCTTCCCTTCCCGATGTCTTGATTATCGTGGCACAAATGGACACAGGGGGGGGGAACTGTCGGTACTTTCCTTCTACTTCCTCTTCCGCCCTCACAAATCACACTCCTGAATATGATATAGTATATCATTACTGTACTGTACCTCTTGTTTCTTTTTTCTTTCTTTCTTTTTTTTGTTTCTGTTTCCTTCCTTCCTCGCACTGAGCCGTCCGCAGGAAGTATGACCTCGGTCATTCAATTCAATTCAGGTAACTTATAAAATTCCTGGAACGTGCGGCTGACATTCCTTTCCCCTTCCACTCTACGCTTCACCGTGCTTTTCCCTAAATGCGTGCGTCGAAGGAGTTTGTCCAGATTAGCGAATGGGGACGTACAGTACTTGTAACAGTACCGTACTCGTAGTAGGTAGGAAAAAAATACTAATTGCCCAAGCAAAAGGTCAATAAGCACTTTGACTTTCACTACTTGTAAATACAGTACAAGGTCCAGGGATAGAAAGATTGACACAAGCATGAATACTGGCGAGGATACTCGAGTATCATACAAAGTAAGGAGTAGGGGTGTGCGTTGATGGCGATATTGGTCAAAAAGTTAGTTGTATCATATGATATGCCGCAGACAAGCCCGTCCGAAAACGTGAGCCCTTCCATTTCTCAGCAGGATCCTGGAGAGAGAAAGTCATCCCTTCCTTCGATAGATGTACTGTATTATGATAAATCGGAGCCCAGGCACCCGGTTTATCAATTATATTTCTGTAAACTTGACCAAGACAAAAGGGGGTTACTCGTACTAGTAGAGTTTCTCAGTGCTGTATCCCCCTCTGCGCACACCACTTCTGCTGAAATCTTTGTTATGCCATGCCCTATTGTGCCAATCTTTCTATCATTAGCTCTTGCACGGTGATAGGACATTCCGCAAGTACCGGTACTCGTACAGTACTCGCCCAAATCAAAAGTCCGTCGCCGAGGTATGATATAATACCCCCAGTGACGATACAGCTGACTTATTACCAATACTCTCCTCTATCACAGCAGCATACCCCAGTGACACCAGTAATGTTGAGAGGAGCGGTCGTATATGCGCCGGTAAGTGTTGGGAATGGATTTTTTTTGACTTTGGCGCAGCGGTCGGTAGTAGGAGGGCGTTAAGCGCCCCAGCCTTGGTGTTTGTTATTGGAGGTACAGTACTCGAGTATTGGTACAAGTACTGTACTGTACACGCTAGCCGTAACCGGATAATGCAACCTTCCCGATTCTTGCTGTGGGGAAGCTTACCTTGACGACTCGGAGACTTTTGGTCTAAATGCTCCGGTAGGGAGGGTATGTAAAGTGGCTAACTTAACTGGTATTTTGGGATGATATATTGGAGCGCTGGGTGCCTCCCTCCTGATCATCGTCGTCGTGGTGCGGGATGCTTTATGGAACTTGGAGAGAAATGTTAATATCACGGTCGACGGTTTGATGTATTGATTATTTATTTATTTATTTTATTTTATTTTTCATTTTCTACAGGATTGCCACTAAAACAGTGCGCCCCATACTCCCAACAATAGAATACAAGTGATCGCTACTCTGACAGTGATCCGGGTGAGAGAGACATCACTATGGGCGAAGGAAACAGCCGCCGAGCGCTTCTTACTGACGTTAGAGCTTATGTCCCATGTGCGGTTGGCCGGAGGCAAATCGGACGAGGACGAGTGAGGTGGGGTGATGATAAATATCTCGCCGGTTGAATCGGAAGTTACCCAGGTCCGTCCCATTCTATCAAAGGCGATACCCACTGGCCTGTGGATTTTCATTAATGGCTGTGGAAGGTGTTTTTTGTGAAAACGTCGACTTACCTAAAGCACTTTTGTGGGCAGCCGGTGATATTACTATTCCACAGGATGTTTGTTATAGAGTTGTTCGAGTTCCTGGGCTCCTTTGGCTCCCCCCCTTTAAACTCCACCACCGAGACCATGTACCCGATCGGCGTTTCTCTATCCCAACTCCCATGGAACGAGATCCAGGCGTGCCCGGTTTGGGGGTGAAATTTGATATCCAGAGGCGCCATGTGTGCCTGGAAACCCAGACGGGGAGCCTGAAACATGTCGCGACACGTCAAATCTGTGAAGGTATTGTTCATGACCAAAGCGAATTGGTCGCCAACTTTGATATCATAAGTCGCGGCTTTGATGTCCTTTGGATACCAGGCGGCAAAGCAGTAAGGATACCCTGTACAACAAAAAATTGGCCAACACATTCAACAATGTTATCGCAGGAGCATACCATAATTCGGCGCAGTAAAATCTTCACTGAAAGCCGTCTCGCCGAGGTCTCCGAGAAAATTCAATTCCTCGGCCGGGTTGTTCTGGTGAATGTCAATTCCCTCCCGCATCAGGTCGTCAGCAGAATTCTCCACAGCCCAGATGCCTCCGTAACTGTCCTCCCCCAACCCCACGGAATTGCGAAGGCCCCATCCGAGCAGATTGCCCTGCGTCGTGAAGTCTTGCTCTTTGGTTTTTGAGACACTGAACGCCTTGATCATGCACTTTCCCTTGGAAAGGTCCTTGGCTTCCATGTCCAGATTTCCGTCAGAACCTCTGGAGACTAGGAGGACGTCCGAATGTAAATTGCTGGTAAGGAGTGTGCGGGTGATATGGCCGCCAGAGTCCATTCCGGTGACAATTTTCCTTCTTGAAGAGTTGTCGATAGTCGCTTTTACAGGATCGTATTTCCATGAATAGACAACGTCGGGGGAACTTGCGAACCTTGTTGAAATCGTCCAAACTTAGCTTGCGAACCTTTCTCCACTAGAAAAATATGTCAGAGAATATGCTTACAGCGTTCTCCCATCTTTAGAAAGAGCTAATCCATGATTCAACTTTAGTCCAGATGAATTTTCGAGAAGAGTTTTCCCGTCATAGATAACACATCCGTCCGCAGCCTCACTAGTTTTCAAAACAAAGATCCCATCCGAATCGCCAGAAACAAGAACATTCCCATTTGTGTCAAAGACAATGTTTCTCGGGCGGGTCAACTGGTTCGTCAATAATTGATAGGTATATCCATTAAGTACGGAGGGGTTTGGATAGGTCGGTGAGCCCCGGTTGATTATGCAAGCGGACTCCGCATCCGCGTCCCAAGACACAGCGAAAGCTTGTTTAAAAAGCACGATAACCCAAAGGAGATATTTGATGCTACACATGTTGAGGTCTTTGAAATTTCTGAGATTTGTGAAAGATGAGGTCGGTGGTGGCGGACGCTGAAGGTGGGGAACAGAGGTTGTGTTGCAACAAAGCTATCTGGAGAGCTCTGCTTGGCATATGCTCATTGGTATAGTATTGGAAAAGAACTTTAGGGTTTAATCACGTTTTGCAGGCGCGAGCCGGGGCAAGAAATCTGTTTTTATCGTGGTGGGGATTCTCCATGACATGATAAGCACCATTCTGCCCTGCCCCAATGGAACCAGTGGAATGCTGTATACATGCGCAATCACTCGTCGGTTGGCAACAAAGATCACGCCCAACCATCCATTACGGTCAAGCAAAATTGAGTAAACTCTCTAGTCTATAGGTATCCTTTTACGTGATTGGCCTACTGATCAATTGAACAATTTCTGTATTAAGTGGACCGCTTCAACTCGGCCGCCCGAGCACAGGACCGGGGCTAAACTGCCGAGTACGGTAGCTATTCTAATCGGTTGTTCTACGAGTAATTCTATAATTCTATATAATAAACTCATCATTAAGAAACCTCGCATGTGCTAAACTATTTGTTAATATTGCGGTTTGGGCTGCGGTGTCAATAGTACGCACAATAAAGTACGATAATATTACTGTTATTGTAATAATATTATTTACAAGACGTTTTGGGAATTGTTGAGGTCCACTGGTACTGTACTGTACAGTACCACAACAGCACTCGACTACCGTACCAATGTTCGGCGTATGCGAGCTAGTCTAATGCCTGTTAATATCAATGCACACAAAAATTCTGCAACCACCCTGGGATAAAAACACATTAAACCCTGGTATAAGGTAAATAAACAAAACTGCGGGTGAACAACAGTACCAGTACTGTACTCCTGTTAAGAATACCGACACTCGGGGACAATGCAACTAAAGACAGTCAATACGAGTAGAGTGACTTTGACAACAAAATCCATTGCTCAGAAAGCCATAGCATTTTGAAAGAAAATTTCCCGAGTAATTAAGATAGTGTAAATCCGTCTATAACCTCGGGTTTTTCTATAAGTTCCCCGTCCTGTTGGCACCTCAGGCTTGCTAGTGCAGTGGGAGTATCCGGGCTATTATTCTCACCAGGGGTAGTCAGTTCATGAAAATTCGTGCACAGGGCTCGGGCTTTGATTACTTCACCATACGATGCTCGAGTAGATTGGGATATGTATGGCTTGCTAGTACCTGTATTCGTGCCGCATTTCAAGACATCTGCCTAAAGGTAGTCATCTCATTAATGGTTAAATACTCAAGTTAGCCCAAGCACCTGGTTGCGTCCTCGAACTCGATCCATCCAACGTTGCTATTAACTTAAATTTATTATACTCTATCTCTATTCTACAACGGAAAGTTCTTGCAGGATATTTCTTAGCCAATTAATTGAGGTGACCATCGCCATTTGTGCAAGTTCATCCATCTGTTTCCCTGTTTCCCCATTGATTTGGCGGTCAGCAATGCATGCGTGGGGAGAACTCTCCAAGCGTCCCGTGCGCGGTTCGGCTAGTTGAACCCTGCGCCTTCCCTGATTGGCGATAGTTCTCCAGCGTGGTGTTGGCAGAGGTTAAATTCTTAACACACAACAACAACCCCCTTTCCTTCCTTTCCTTCCCCCTCTCCTCTTTCTTCCTTCATCTCAACACTATCTTCTATCTATAAATCACAATTTTACGTTTATTCACCCGATTTACGAATCAATTACACCTTCCTCTATAGTCGTAAGTTTACCTTGTCTACCCCTCCGGGAGACGCGTTTTGGGTTCTCCAGCACTATCCCAGTTGTTGACAATCAGCTATCTGTTATCCTTGTATGACTGACAATTCCTGAAACGTTTCACAGAATCAGAATGCGCGAAATCGTTCACTTGCAAACTGGTCAGTGCGGTAACCAGATTGGTGCCGCTTTCTGGTATGAATTCATATTGGGTTTATCGAGCTTCACCTGATGAGAGAGGTTTCTTACTTGAATTTTCTTTTTTGATTGTAGGCAAACAATCAGTGGAGAACATGGACTTGATGGGTCGGGTGTGTAAGTTACCACTTGTTCCCAATTCTCGATATTATGACCAACGGCGTTCTAATATTATTTTTTACCAGCTACAACGGAACGAGTGACCTGCAGCTCGAGCGTATGAATGTCTACTTCAATGAGGTTGGTGTATGATAACGCATTTTCAATTTCTGCTGCATCTTTCTCACTATTTTGCAACCAGGCTTCCGGCAACAAATACGTTCCCCGTGCTGTGTTGGTCGACTTGGAACCGGGTACCATGGACGCTGTTCGATCCGGTCCCTTCGGAAACCTCTTCAGGCCGGATAACTTCGTCTTTGGACAATCCGGTGCTGGTAACAACTGGGCCAAGGGCCATTATACCGAGGGTGCTGAACTTGTCGACCAGGTGTTGGATGTCGTTCGTCGTGAGGCCGAAGGCTGCGACTGTCTGCAAGGTTTCCAGATTACTCACTCGCTTGGTGGTGGTACTGGCGCTGGTATGGGAACGCTCTTGATCTCCAAGATCCGTGAAGAGTTCCCCGACAGAATGATGGCCACTTTCTCCGTTGTTCCTTCACCTAAGGTCTCAGACACCGTTGTTGAACCATACAACGCCACCTTATCGGTACACCAGCTTGGTAAGGACCAGAAGTATTTGCTTGAGTTGGGCAAGCACTAACCATAGAACACAGTCGAGAACTCTGATGAGACCTTCTGTATTGATAATGAAGCCCTGTACGATATCTGCATGCGTACTCTTAAACTCTCAGCTCCTTCCTACGGAGACCTTAACCATCTGGTCTCTGCCGTCATGTCTGGTGTTTCAACCTCTCTCCGATTCCCTGGGCAGCTTAACTCTGACCTCCGCAAATTGGCTGTTAACATGGTGCCTTTCCCACGTCTCCACTTCTTCATGGTTGGGTTTGCGCCCCTCACCTCCCGCGGCGCCCACTCCTTCCGTGCCGTCAGCGTTCCAGAACTCACGCAACAAATGTACGACCCGAAGAACATGATGGCAGCATCCGACTTCCGCAACGGCCGTTACCTGACCTGTGCTGCTATCTTGTGAGTGTTGTCCCTATTCAGACAACCACAAATTAAAGCTAACTATTGCCAACCAATAGTCGTGGAAAGGTTTCCATGAAGGAGGTTGAGGACCAAATGCATAATGTACAGAACAAGAATTCATCATACTTTGTCGAATGGATCCCCAACAACGTTCTCACTGCCCTGTGCTCAATTCCTCCTAAGGGGTTGAAAATGAGCTCTACCTTCATTGGAAACTCTACCAGCATTCAGGAGCTTTTCAAGCGTATTGGCGACCAGTTTACCGTCATGTTCAGGCGTAAGGCTTTCTTGCATTGGTACACTGGTGAAGGGATGGACGAAATGTAGGTTTGCTCATAACCATGACTTCTACTTGTTAGGTCACGTGCTGATAAGAATTTACAGGGAATTTACTGAAGCGGAATCCAACATGAACGATTTGGTTTCCGAGTACCAGCAGTACCAAGATGCCACCGTCTCTGACGATGAGGGTGAAGCTTATGAGGAGGAATTGCCTGCTGAGGAGGAGGCCTAAAAGCTGCAACTTCAAAAAGTCAGTATGATTCGAGAATACCAACGACTAGATATTGTTTCGTGTCTTTGAATAGGTTTCGAACTATTGGTTTGTTGGCTCAATTGCGTTCAAAGGGAGTTGCTATTGTCTTTGGTCTTCCGAGAATTCCTCATCTTTCGTTTCATTTTGTACTGCGGCTAGCAGCTTTATTTGGCAGTGAGCTTTGTTTAATCAATTGCTCTACGGTGAATAGCCCTTCTTTGTAGATCCCATTTATCAAATTGATCAAGTATTCACTTAGCCGTGGAACTGGAGCCAACAAATTGCAAGTAGACCTGAAACGACAACTGACCAAATCCCAGTTGAAAATGGTGGATTTTTTTTTTGCACGTCTAATTAAGCCACATGCCCTGTGCCGTCTTCGTGTGAATAAAGATTTTCGTGAAAAAAGTTTTCCCTTCGTCTATCCATCTCCAGCGCCTCAGGTCCGATTTGTAACGTTTAACCCGCGGCGGGGTAAAGGGTGAAAACGACCGCTTGCACCACCAAAGTTTTTTTTCTTCTTACCCTTCACCTCCCCTTCCCTTCTTCCGTCTACTCGTAGCTTGTCTTTTGTCCTGCTTCCTCCCCACTACACACACTCACACTCTCTTTAACATTCATCCATCTCTCGCAAACAGTTTGACTTTAATTTCCCTCTGACTCCTCAATCAGTACTGCTACCATCATGGGCAAAGAAAAGGTATCCCCCAAACCACAATTCTTACTCACAATTTATTCTCCCTACTCCCCATTATTTCCCATTGTTCCCACCATATGCTTTTTTTATCACTTATACCCAGTACCTGCGATTGCCGTATTTGACCGGCTTCCCATCACTGCTACTTGGTTCCCAGATAGAGTTCCTCTGTTTCTGTTTCCTTCACTTACTTTTTTGGTTCCCGCTCTGAATTGTTTTTGTTAGCATTTATTGACTTTTTATAGGTTTGCCTTGCATACTCGTGAGTAACTACCAATTCTGGGTTTTCGAAAGAGAGACAGCAGCCCCAGCTGTTCTCGCTCAATTACAAACAAACAAAGACAAACTGTCAATTTTTTATTATTTACTAACCTATTCTTGATAGCGGTGGACTTGATACTTCTTGTATCCTAGGTATTACTGCAATTGATCCTTTCTATCGTTTATTCACTAATTAAAATACTAGCTTGGCTTATCGAAAAGGGTTATGAAGTTGTTTGTTTCAGTAAATCTCCATGCTTGCTCACTTACGTCATTGCCTATAGACCTAACTCTGTGAATTTCAGTGGCCGACATCGGTCAAGAAGAGGACTTCGAAGCCGCAAAGGAAAAGGCTTTGAAAATTGGAGCCTCCTCTGTCCACGTTGTTGACCTTCGCAAAGAATTTGTCGAGAAGCTCTGTTATCCTGCTATCCAATGTAACGCAATTTACGAGAACGTTTATCTTTTGGGTACGAAACTCTCTAATACAGTTTCCCAATTATTTTTAAACCCCACCTAATGCTGGCTTATGATAGGAACTTCTCTTGCGAGACCCGTTATTGCTCGTGGACAAATTGCTGTTGCTGAACAGGAAGGATGCACCCTCGTTTCTCATGGATGTACCGGCAAAGGAAATGACCAAGTTCGTTTTGAGCTTGCATTTTATGCCTTGAAGCCGGACGTTAAAGTCATTGCACCATGGCGTCTTCCTGAGTTTTACAACCGATTCGCTGGTCGCAACGACTTACTTGCCTATGCCGCAGAGGTTGGCGTTCCCGTCTCTCAAACCAAAACCAAGCCCTGGTCTATGGACGAAAACCTAGCTCATTGTTCGTATGAAGCCGGGATTCTTGAGGACCCTGATGAGACTGCTCCAAAGGATCTTTGGAAGTTGACAATTGACCCTCTCGACGCTCCTGATACTCCGGAGGATTTCACTGTCCATTTTGAGAAAGGCCTCCCTTCGAAGCTCGAGTATGAGGGTGGCAAGGTAGCCACCGAGCCTTTGGATCTCTTTTTGACCGCCAATGCCATCGCTCGCAGACACGGTGTGGGAAGGATTGATATCGTCGAGAATCGTTTCATTGGGTTGAAATCCCGTGGATGCTACGAGACTCCTGGCTTGACCATTCTTCGTTCCGCTCATGTAGACTTGGAAGGTCTTGTTCTCGACAAGGAGATCAGAGCTCTCAGGGATCAATTTGTTACCTTCAACTATTCCAAGGTCTTGTACAACGGACTCTACTTCTCGCCTGAACGTGAATTCCTCGAGGATTCCATCACGTCCTCCCAGAAGACTGTTAATGGGAAGGTTCGCTGTCGCGTCTACAAGGGCTCCTTGATTATTCTCGGAAGGAGCAGTGAGACCAGCAAACTTTACGACATGGCTGAGAGCTCCATGGATGAAATCGGCACCTCGTTCGCGCCGGTCGATACTACTGGGTTTATCTCGGTCCAGGCAATTCGCCTCAAAAAGTAAGTTCACCTTCCGTTAAAAAAATCTAAATACTAATGAAAAGTATAGGTACGGGGCCCAGAAGCTGCTTGATGGAGAAGTTCTCTGATTCTATTTTTCTTAATGATACCATAGAATCACCTTTGCCCTTGTCTTGGGTGTGGTATTCGACTTTGCTTCTTTGTTTCCACCTGGATCTCGTACTTCTAGGTGTTACCTCGTAATCGAGGGAAAACAGTAGTTGGTTATGGATAATAGTATCCATAATAAATACCTTGTGTGAAGTTCTAGACCTTATTTCGAGTGATTTTCTGTGAATGTAATGCCACGTGCCAGCACAATGCGATTGTTGGCGGAAAAGTGCAGTAGACCTGCCTTGGGAAGCTACCGGCCTAACCGATCAAAATAAGCAACGTTGTTTTTATTTTATTTTTCTTTTCCTCTTCTCTACCACTGCGGAAAACACACGAAACGACAACACGACAGCACACGACAACACCTCCTTTGACCAGAGTATTCACGACTTGTTTAAATACTTTTATCTTCCTGGCTGTTCCCCTCCTACCCTTTTCCCCCTGAATTGAGACTCGAACATCTTGCGCTCTGGTATCTGCCACTACACACTCATCAATTCACCCATCTTCTCTCCGGTAGCCTAAGCCGGAATCACTAATCCCCAAACCCCCTCCAAATTTTTTTTCCTTTTCTTCCGCGATAGAAGCAACCTCCCACCACCGCCGCTACCAACAAAAAAACAGAGGATTCACGCATCCACATACCTCACTCCAAGCACTTTATGAACAAAATGGACGAAATCCTCTTCCACGTCATGAACATCGCGCACAGCGCCACCAGCTACACAACAATGCTCAAGACCCACATGATCAGTCCCCTAAAACAGTACGCCGCCTCGCAGCCAGACCTGATGAACATCGCCCTCCTCCTCGTGATCGTCTACCTCTCGCTTTCGATCCTTGGCATGGCTAGTCGCTGGATCTACTCGGTCGTCATCACCACTCTGCGCCTGCTCCTTTTTGTCGTCGTGATCGGTGGCGGGATATGGGTGTGGCAGCGCGGGCCGCAAAAGTCCCAGAGCGATTTTCTCAAGGTCGTGGAGGTGGTCAGCGAGGGTGTTAGTGCTGCCGCGGCCGGGAAGGGGCCAGGCGGTGGGCCAGGCGGAATGGGAGGCGCTGGAGCCGGATTTGAGAGGCAGAGATACGAGTATTAGAGGTTACTCTTCGGTGATCCCGATGGGAATTGGAAGGCGGTTATAGAGGGTGGGGTAGCTTTGTTTTTCTTATTTTTATTTTTCTACTATGCTAGCGCTGATGATGATTACGACGATGACTTGCTGAGCTCCTACTCACGGGTGAATTGGATGGATGGATGGATGGATGAGTGAGTGTGAGCAGGCAGGTGGGCATGTATTCTTTTGCCTTGATATATCATAGTTTTTTTTTTTCTCCCTCCCTTCCACGTCAACTTGTCGTTGTCCTTGATACTTCTTTCCTTCCTTCCTTTCTCACCAGACCTACTTAATACCGAAAGCCGGTAGCGCCGTCTTTTACTCTTCATTCAATCGTTCACTCTCGTTAGCTGTATTGTTTCTTCGCCCTCGCTCCAATCACGTTTCATTTGCCCCCATCCAGAGAGAAAATATGTACTGTACTCCAATCCCTAGCTGTCAAAATAAAGTTTCTCCATAGAATTCCACTTTATCGTTACCACTTGCCAGCACTTTAACCGCCCTCGTACCACGAGGGCACAATAGCACACACACAAGTCACCAGATATAGCACCCGCACTCTTATCGTGAAGGATAAATAAGCCAGCCAGCCTAACACTTAGGCCAGGCAGGGTAACCACTAATCGAACTTGCAATCTGCTCTTTTACGCGCCTTCGCGCGTGCCGTACCGTACCATAACGCATCAGTAAGTACAAGTTTGGTGCTCTACCCTAGCAAAAGGCAAGAGCACGAAAAAGAAAGGAAGGAGGGAGAGAATAAAGTTAAGTTACCCACAATGCCCATTTTCCACAGAGTACACGCACGAGCCATCACTCGATTTCCCTCCCTTTTCCAGAAACTCAGTACTGTAGTCTACACGGAACGCATCTCTCGCTTTTTCCTTCTCTCCGCGGATCAACTGCCTCAACACGTGATGAATAGATCCGGAAGTTACACCGACCAGAAGCCGACGGCGCCTGTCCTGGCCTGGCCTGACAATTACTGTACGTGTACGAGTACTGTACTCGGTAGAGAAGTTAGTCCGCCCGAACGGACGGAGAAACCTCCGGGTGTGACAAATATACGATACGTACTCGGCGGTGCGGTAAGTTACATACAGTGGAAAAGGCGGTTGCGGTGCGGTGCGGTGCGGGTGCGGTAATCGTCGAGTTTTGTGGAGAGGTTATATGATGTGATGCGCGTGGCGTGTGTGTGTGTGTGGGTGATCGATCTACTTACTGTACGTGTACTGTACTGTACTGTACGTGTACTGTACAGTATCTACGAGTCTACTGTAGGGACGAGGGCTCTTTTTTTTTTTTTTTTTCCCCAGGGGTTGGGCATTTGGGCATTTGGGCATTCTATGGTACTGTACTCGTACCTTATTTCGTTCGGTATTTTAGAATGAATTGTGTGGCGTACAGTTCCTCTGGGATGATAACGAGGGGTGGTGATTCGCTGTGTGGTGGTTTTGTCTACGCTATATGGTCCTGCCTGTCCAAGCGCCAAGAACTCTCAGCAACGAACTAAGGGGTTTTTTTTTTTTTTTGTGAAAACTAAGAATCAGATCTCCTTCTACTGGTATGATATTCTATGGAGCTCTAAATATTTTATTGGATTGGAAAAGGAGTGCATTTTCTGGTACGGGGGTATGATACAGGTATCGTACCGGTACAGTGCTTGTACGGTACGTCCGCAACAAATCTATGCCAAGGCGTTAATTTGTGCATGATAATATTACCGAGCAAATACGAGTACCATACAGTAACCTACTCTAGTAGAGAGGGAACGAGAGAGAGAGAGTGTGTGTGTGTTGTGTGTGTTGCGTGTGTCGCTTTTACAAATAATATATTTACCGGGACCAAACGATAGCAACCGCCCCCGCAATGAGGAATTCAAAACATCTCGGCCCGAGACCCCACGTTTTCCCCCCCCACACACACTCGCACACTCCACACACACTCACCGAGTCTTTCCCAGCCGGCGGCCCGGAGGGGGGGCACTACTCGAGTACTATATGATAAAAACGAATATGTATTCCTACCACCACTACCAACAAAGGCGCTAATATGCGGGATATCGTCCGGTTACCCATCCACGCACCCCGCACAACGGGAGGATGTAAATAATACGGTACTATACTCAAAGCATCCAAAAAAAACAAAAAAAAAACACAGGGATTTCGTGAAACAAACGCGCGTTGCAATGATCGCCTATACAAGTCTATACTCGAGTAACTGCACAAATCCGCCAACTCACCCGCTTCTGGAGTTGTGGTCCCCGGGGCGGGGGTGGGTGCCGTTGTTCATGGGATGCATGTACCCAGTTTGTTACAGTACTCTTAGTCGAGAGGACGGTGCTCTATGCATGTACTCGGTATGTACTTGTACAGTACTCTGTGTGCTGCATGAAATGGGCACGATGATACGCATACGGACCGCGCGATCGATGTCGAGCGTGGTAAGGGCCCGGTGATAAATCCGAGTCATCGCTTGCCTGGGGGTCTATGCCTTTGTATCATAAATACGATGACCGAGTTGCGGGGCTGTACCGGTGCTCGTTCGGGGGAGGCTATCAGTGATTATCGGTGGTGGGTATGATGTTTGGTCGGATTGGTCAGGGATGGGAATTTGCACGATATCATACTTGTACCGGTACCCTATGCAAGCGTAGCATCGAGCCCATCACCAGAAGCGAAGTGGCTTGGACGAATATGATACCACACGGTAAGAGGAGCCCTTTGCCATATCATACCAATCGATGATAGGACGGAGCGAAGCCCTCCGCCGGGCACGCCCTATCATGACCTATCGTCCGTCGGAAGCGGGAAAGTGTGGTGGTGTGCCGAGTGCGCCGAAAACGATTGCTTCGACGAGCTTGGTTATGATAGCATGATAACAGCAAACTGCCTCCCCAAAGTGGTAACGGTATTTGGGGTACGGCAGCCCGGGACGGGTTTGACTCGGTCAAGTGCGGGAATAAGCGAGGAGTTGGAGGTGGAATTTTGTATGTATCGTGGTTGGTCTGATTTTTTTTTGAGGGTCCTGGCGATACGATGGGGTATGATACCGTACCGATACAATTGGTGACGGAGCGGTCGGTCGATCTGCTTGGCCAGGACCGCCATGTGGTAGGTAGGGTAGCCTAACTACCGACTGGAGTAGATTTATCACCGCTTGTCTGTGCTGTATAAGCTTAACGTCTAGCGCGGTCTACCAAGGAATCAAGGCCTTCACGTAACCTTATCAAACCCTCTCTTCCCTCCTTCCCGCCTACAACATCTCCAAAAAGTTACCCTCCTCACTATCTCATGCAACCCACGGCCGAAACCGGAACCATGGACACTCCCCCTCCACATTCATCTATTGCAGCAACGACAAAATGCTCCGGCTATAATTTAGGCCATCTTTTCAATAAAAACATACATATCCCCCCCCTCCTCTTCGGGGGGGGGGGAGGGGAGAGAATACGATAAGGACTCCCGAGTGATACTACGTGATTGTCGGAATCTACCGCCATGCGGCAGCGCTTTCTTCTTTCTTTCTTTCTCGAATACGGTATATGATATACGAGTACCGTACTGTAGATCGTAAGATGGTAACCCAAAACGTTTTGGTAAATCGCACGTTGCTCCGGAGTGCCAGGGTGCTGAGGGAGGGGTGGTAGGTTGTAGTGGGTGGATGTGTGTGTTCCTGTGAATCGGGGCTTTTTTTTTTTTTTTTTTTTTGCTGGGTTGTTCTGGCTTGACTTGTGAGTTAGCTTCTGCAGGCGCGTGGCTTCCTTGCTTGTTTGCTGGCCCGATGGCGAGACACAATAGGGGATCGAATTGTCGGACCTGAACTGCCGGTACGAAGTCAGGAATTTCCTGCTTTGGAAAAAGGACAAAGAAGGGTGCAAAGAATTGCTCGGCATCCAGGAGGTATAAGAAAAACAAAGAAAAACAAAGAAAAGAAAAGAAAGGATAAGAAAAGAAAAAAACATTACCAGAGGAGGCAATCCCAGCGACGTAGCACTGTGTTGTGTTCGATTACTCGAGCTGCTGGTCTACCGCCCAGGCACGGCTACTACAGAGTCACGGGATGTTGGTTGATTTTACTCCATCTCCCTGTCCCTCGGAGAGGTACCGTACCGGCAAGTATGGGAAGAAGAGGGTGGGTGTGGTACAAGTACCCGTACGAGTACAGGATTACCTTGGGCCGGTAACATGCAAGTGAGAGGACTCGTACAAGTGTGGCTTGCATGGGTGTGTGGTGGGCGTTTGGTGTTCTGCTTCTGCTTTTTCCTTCTTCTTTCATGCCGATAACTCGAGGAGTTCTTGTGTGTGTGTGGTGTGGTGGGGGTTGCCGTATCACCAGCACCGGCGCAGCCTTCTACTGCACCTTCGTCGGGGGGGGGGGTGGTATCATAGGACGAAAATAGTTGCTGTGGTTGTGATGGTGATCTACTCGTATCATTCTCAGCGATACGGTAACTCCTTTGCTTTTTTTAGTGTGTTCTTCGGAGGAAGGGGGGTTGATACCTTGCCGCTCACTAGTTGATGTGGTGGTGCTTTCACGAGGACATAAGTTCTACAGTACCGCCCGGTACTTGCGCTTGTTCTGGGGGGGAGGTCGAAGTGATACCGGTACAGTACACTCAGTACACTGCAGTACAACCGAAGGAGCGAGACGGACAGACAGACGACAGACAAGGCTCTGGACGCGGTAGATTCCCGAGTAAGTTTCGTCTGGGCCACCCACGTTGGATAAGCGAGTTTTTTGGTGGTTTTGGGAGGTTTGCATGCTTCTAGTATATGGGATAGGGAGGGAGGCGGTTCTTGGCATGGGAATGGTGAAAGAAGAGGTGGAAGGGGGAGGAGGAAGTATCGTCGTTACAATACACTGCCATCTGGCGAAGCAGGCAAGCGGGAGGGGAAAGTGGCGATTGGGGAAATTTTGACCGGGGGATTGTTCGGGCATGATACTGTACATTGTAACTAACTACTCTATGATTGCTAAACTCACCCGTCCATCCGCTGGCTTGCTTACTTACGACGTCAATGACCTCTACCTTCCTATTCGTTTCTAGTTTTCCCTCCTGGGCTGCCCCGCCGGTTCATCACATCTCGTTGTGCGGTATGAAAGGTATGATGATGAAACCTTTAAAAGAAAAAGAATGAATGTAAAGGTCTAAATCGCAGGCGTATAGCAATATACCGATGCCAGTACAGTACCTGGAGACAACACCGCGCTGGATCATAACAAACCAGCCGATACGGTGCTCTACTCGTATGGACAGCAGAACGTTCGCATAACGCCATACAGGAGCACGATAACCTATTTCTGCAACAGCAGTCTGGGCAGAAAAACAAAAAAAACAATCTCGAAAGAAAAAGAAAAGGATGAATAATTCCAATCATACCCACATGCGTCTTGCATTGCGTTTTTAACGAGGATGCTGATGTTCGAACACCCTGCTCGTTCAGCACTACGAGTACTCGAGTACCGGGAGGAAGAGTACCGGGTATGCCAAGGATTACGGTGTAAGTCTGTCGAGCTTCCTCCGGTTGGCGCCAGGGCGTTCTCGACCATTCGGAGAAGGGCATTTGCTCCAGCCACTGCTCCAATAGTTTGACAGACATTTTTCCTCCACCAAGACTAGCATGTCCGGCCTATTCAATTGCATGATTCCCGTTACTCACACATAATTTCGACCAACCAGACCAGACGTTGACAGAACTTGCGCATACCCCAAGTATTTGGCGGCGGTGGTTTGTGGTGTGGTCGAACCGGGCCGTGCTTTCCGATGAAGAGGAATGCGATCCTGATGGAATCGGGCTTGGTCGTGGTGGAATAATTGGTTCGAGGGCGACGTCGAATTATGTGATAAGGGGGGCTCTTTTTTTGAGGTTCCGGTTTTGTGCTGCGTTGCAGGGGTGAGAGGCAAGGTCAGTACTTGAGTAGTGCTCAAGTAGATAGGTCGGTCGGCGTTTTCTTCTGGATCAGTGTCCACGTCGCTATCGTCAGGACGAAGTGCAGGTCTATGAGTGCAGGTATCGTACCCGCCAATTTCAAAGATATCCAGGCAACCTTAAGGCCAAAGATCTGTGCTTTTTGATGGGTTTTTAGCATTACAGTAAGGTGTCTAGATACGGTACTTATGAAATTCGCGAGTAGTGTCATAGGGGATTTAGCTTACTCTTTGGAGCCCTTCGGAGCCTTGGGGAATTCGGTTGTCACTGGAGGTTAACTTGGTACAAACTTTTGGGGATCCCCTCGTGCTGTTTTTGGTGTTGTGCGGTTGCTAGTATGCACTGGTTTAGGTATTGCGCGCGCTGTATGATCGTGGTGAGACCGATACGTGAGATTATTATCGTTTGCTAAAGTCCGCTGCGCTCGAGGTGATGTTCCGATATCGTTTCTTCAGGTTCCGTCGATTCCCTCCTTTAGCACCGCGCTGTGTTGCAATGCTTGAACTTTCTTCTTTTTTTCTTTTTTTCGTCTGATGTATGATGATGCGGTGTGGGAATTGCTTCCATCGCCGTGCAGTCAGTGTCAGGCGCGCTTAATTTTCAAATAATCAGCAGTTTTCTTCTTCTCCGTTTCCTTCCCCCTTTTCATACCTCTCTGCTGCTTCCCTTACTCATCGGGCACAGACTAGCTTATCGACCATTATTTTCCTTTCTTTCTTTCCTGCTTTCTTTACGAGTTGGTCTTTTGATATCCAAGCTGCATTGCGTGATTTTGGGGCTATTTTTTCGCACGCCTCTCTTGTCGCCATCTCTGCCGGAGTTTGAACCGGTCAATTTCGGCAGTTGAGTTTTTTCTTCTTCTCCTTGTTTGCTTGCCCGCTTGCCTGCTCGCTGGCTTTCCTTCCCTAAGCTACTCCAGAAGTGCATGACTGGGTCGACGTCTCGCTTCTCTTCGAGATCGTAGGAGAGGGAGATGAGATGGTGGGGGTTCTGAACAACTGAATCGAGAGTGATAGATTGATAGACTGACGGAAGTAGAGTCGCTGCGGTGTACTCGTACAGTACAATACCGGTTTCTTGCTCGAGAAAAGTGAAGTGAGGCTTTACACCTTTCTACATGCCAAGTCACATCTCACGCGTACTGAACTCGACTGCCTGACATTACCTCAACCTGGCGGCCTGACTGGTCCAGATCAAAAACTGATGTCATGATCGTGACAATTACCGGTAAATTGAGACGAACGTGGGAGTGGACCTCTTGTTTTGACAGGCAGAAGAAAGCGATAAAAATAAAATAAAAACAATTATTTCAGGCTTTCGCAAAGAAGAGAGAGCGAATGTCGCATGCATCTGGCGAATGGGGTATTAATCCGGGCGGAGAGTGGTACCTTTCTAGATTCGACCTCCGAAGCACCTCCCCCCCCCCAATTCGCACGCACACATGCAACCACACACTCCACCAGCGTACGGTACTGGTATGATGTTCCCCAATTACCATGATTACCGGTAATTGATATGTCGAGTTTCACCGTGGAATACGTATCACAGCATAGTATTCTTCCAATCATCCCATGGCATACTCGAGTGCATGACTAACAAATGGACTATGTGCTGGACCATTTCTTACAATACAACAATATTGATATCTTACGGATGAGGCTTGCTGAAATCAAATAGTATTGTAACTGCGGTCACGGCACCGGAAGGATATCGGTATGATATCACAAACAACGCAACCACGCCAAACAAAAGCGAACAAGAGAGGAGTCCACTGGCACGGGTACCGGTACGAGTACTCGAGTACAAAGAAAGCAACGAGGGGGAGAAAAGGAAAAAGTGGCTTGCTCGGATCAACCGATTTGTGGCGGTCACGCAAGAATCGAGCGTGCTACCCAACGTTTCGGACTTATTAACCTCCACCCCCCCCCTCTCTCTCCTCCCTCCGCTCTAGCCTCTCAACCTCCGCTCCGCGGGCATCCTCACCTCCTCTTCCCTACAGTGCTCGGGCACCCTTATAGATATGGACCCGAGCTTTGGTTCTCGTCCTGCAGACGGCGTTTAACAATACCGAGATAGCCATCCACTGATTTTTGTGAAACTCAATTACCCACTAACTTTATTACCCGCCTGAGTGTTCTCGATACAAGAATTCATGCACCACTGACAATACGATGATACAAATTGTAACTATTTTTTTCCCTGATATGATGCATACCTTGTGATCGCCGTAATGGCCTTTTAATAAGCCACATGGCAAATCTAGCTCACTTTTGAAGATCCGAGAGGCTAGTTTGATTGATTGGTTGGTTGATTGATTGACTTGACTGATTTGACGGAAGGGGGGCGACGGGAGTCATAACGACAAGGGGAGTGGGAATTGCGAAGGAACAGTTTCTTGGGTACGAAAGGCCTGTCAGATCCGGAGACTACATGCTGCCGTATGCAAAGTGGTGCAGGGAACTTTGTGAAGTGGGGCAGTGAATCGCCTTGATGCATAACTGCATAACAACTAACTTTCTCTTACCTCACGAACAGGGCGAGCACCGGTATGGGCGACTTACTGCAACTGTATGACGATGGTGATGGTAGGCGGTGTTTTCCCTTTCCCTCGGTATGACATGGGGACATGGGGAAGGAGCTTTTCAACAGCTATTTAACCAAACTCAACGAGGGCCATACATGTCATTCGCTTGAGCTGCCGTTGCATCCGCTTGATATGTTCGTATTTCTTTTAGGATTATGTTTGGTCGTTTGTCTATATTATATATAGTTTGTGATGCGCTTCTGATTTTTTTCCCCCTTGTTTCCTTTCCCTTCTTTGATTACTCTTCATCGTCGAGAATGGCGTTTTCGTTTTGGATTCTTTCCTCGATCGGAATCCTCAAGTATGATACTCGTATGTGTACCGATAGACCACAGCAGCAACACGACGCAAGCAGCAGCACAGATTCCTTAAGGCTGACAGAAGCTACCGACTGGGCGGAGGGGAGAGTGCCGATTACGTACGTGCGTATCCGGGTAAAGTCCATTTGGCTTCGTCGATATCCAACTTTATTACTTTCCTAGCTCCTTAGAGTAAGGAGCGAGAGGCCTTAAGGGAGGCTTTGCTGTTCCCACCGGACTCGGGGTAACGGCTTGTATTGTTTGGAGAGAATTAAAAATAATAATAATAATAATAATACTTCCTCCCGGTATTCTCATTCTTTGCTTTGATGTTTGATGCGGTTTCGGCTTGATCGCGCTTTCTTTTTTCCTTCTCTTCGTTTTTGTTCGTGCAGGTCCGCTTGGTCGTTTATGGTGAGGTGTGTCATTGTGGGCTTCCGGATGACCAGATAGTTCCTTGCGCCACCCCAGTCCCTCCGACATATCAGTGTTGTATCGATATGGGTAGAGTTTGGTAGTCAAATCATGTGAAAAAAAGTAAACACCCCTTGCGTCTTTTAATGCGTTTTGGGATTTGAGAACAAAGGACCTTTTTTCATGAACGAGTTTGAGCTCTTTTCTCCCGTCTACCCTCTTTCGGTGATACCGTGCTAGATAATGGAGGTTTATGTAGGAGATTGGAGGGGAGATTTTTGGTTCGAAGGGAGCAGGAGGAGGTGAGTGAGAGAAAGAGAGAGGAAGAAGGAAGGAAGATAGCGCGAGCAGAATAGATGCATAGGATAGGGCGGCATAGGAGGTGGAGGCCGTTATCGCGAGCTTTCCTCCATGGGACCGCGTCCGGCTTGCTTTGGCTGGGCTGGCATGCTGTGCGAGCTCGTCTCGTGGCATCCATCTTGAATAAATCCTTCCCTCTCTACTCTCTCTACTCGAGCACTGTGTCCCTCCTTGCCTATTTTCCCCGCATGTCGTAGCTTGGAAAACAGGTGCTTGATAATCTACTCGAGTAGCTAGAGTGCCCGAGAATATTTCACTCATCTTCAAGGGCAACCGGTGATGAACGAATAGTTTAGTCGATACCGGTGCCCCATCCCTTGAGAGTGTGCTGTTTTTTTTTTTTTTTTTGTAGGCTTTCGATAATTCCTGGAAGTTGATTTTCTCAAATCTCCTTACAACAGCATCAACGGCGATTAAAAAAAAAAAAAAAAAAAAAAGGGAAGTTTGTGCCTCTGAATTGCCTTCCGGTCTTCTCACTGTTTTATGTCACAATTTCCCTTCAAGATCCCTGCGTTAACGACCCCCCGCATGGGAATTTTCAGCTTTTGAGCTTTGAGGAGCTAAGTGCTTGATTGAAGCTGATGATAAGTTTCCGCATTTTATATACGCAGGCTCACCCACCCCACCCGTTTCGTTTCACTTGATCCACCGACAACCTCTTCCCTTCCCTTTACGCACACCACCCAAGAAAAACGTTCTATCGTCCGTGCTCCCCTTGGTGGTTGGCCTCTTGGTACTCCATCTTTTTTTTTTTTTTTTTTTTTCCCTCTCTCTCTCTCTGGATATCATACTGGTACAGTTGGTACAGTACAATTACTTTTTATTATTATTATTATTTCAGTTCTGTAGATATTGATATGCCTTTTTTTGTGTTCAAATCGGCTTGGTTACTTTTTTTTTTTTTTTTTTTTTATCAAGCAGTTGTTCACATGCGGGCGCCACCAGG